ATTTAAGATCTGGTGAAATAATCTTAGCAATTGGGTTGTTGTACAACTACAACATAATATATTGGGTTGCGCGTCAAAAATGTTAAGAAACACTTGTATATAGTATATGTATTGATTTTGAAAAATTGTTTATTGCCATGCAATAACTTTGTATTTTATAATTACGAAATATTTGATAACTATCCATAAATATTTTGCTATATCTTTCAAAGCTTGGTAAAAGTTGTGGAATGTTGGTGGTTAAAATGCGTTTGTTTTCTAATGCTCAAATTTTTATTACATCTATTAATTATTTCATGATTACAATCGGTATGTCGCTTAGAAGATGATTTCTTCTGGTCTCAAAGATTCAACACCACCTGGGAATGGGCGGACTTGTGGAGCTACTGGAGCTGGAAGAGGTTGGATAGCTGGTGGCAATGGACGAACTTGTGGAGCTACTGGAGCTGGAAGAAGTTCAATTGCTGGTGGCAGGGACGAACTTGTGGAGCTACTGGAGCTGGAAGAACTTCAATTGCTGGTGGAGTGGACGAACTTGTGGAGCTACTGGAGCTGGAAGATTAAGCTGGTGGCAAGGACGAACTTGTGGAGCTACTGGAGCTGGAAGAACTTCAATTGCTGGTGGCAAAGGACGAACTTGTGGAGCTACTGGAGCTGGAAGAACTCCAGCTGGTGGTGGAAGTGGGCGAGTTTGTGGGCGGCCACCGCAGCTTCCTTCTGGTACTGGTGCTGGAAGAACTTCAATCGCTGGTGGAAGTGGACGAACTTGTGGACAACTGGTGCTGGAAGAACTTCAATTGCTGGTGGAAGTGGACGAACTTGTGGACAACTGGTGCTGGAAGAACTTCAATTGCTGGTGGAAGTGGACGAACTTGTGGAGCTAACTGGAGCTGGAAGAACTTCAATTGCTGGTGGAAGGACGAACTTGTGGAGCACTGGAGCTGGAAGAACTTCAATCGCTGGTGGAGGGACGAACTTGTGGGCAACTGGAGCTGGAAAACTTCAATGCTGGTGGAAGTGGACGAACTTGTGGGACTACTGGAGCTGGAAGAACTCCAGCTGGTGGTGGAAGTGGACGAGTTTGTGGACGTCCGCAGTTTCCTCCTGGAGCTGGAGCTGGAAGGACTTCAATTGCTGGTGGCAGAGGACGAACTTTGGACTGGAGCTGGAAAACTTCGATCGCTGGTGGAGAGGACGAACTTGTGGGAAAACTGGAGCTGGCAAAACTTCGATCGCTGGTGGAAGAGGACGAACTTGTGGGACAACTGGAGCTGGCAAAACTTCGATCGCTGGTGGAAGAGGACGAACTTGTGGTGCAACTGGAGCTGGTAGAACCTCAACCGCTGGTGGAAGTGGACGAACTTGAGGTGGAGCCGGCAGTTCTTCGACTTGCGGTGGACGAGGCAACGGCAATGGACGCACTTCTGGCATTACCGGTGCTGGCAATGGGCGAGTTTCTGGTAAAACTGGAGCCGGCAATGGTTTAACCTGCGGGTAAAGTGGTGGCGGCATAGGCATTGGGAAATATTGAGGTCCAATCTGTGCTGGAGGAGGCATGGCGCTCACCCCATAGCCTGAGAAGACAAAAAAAAAATATTAGAAAAAAATATTATTATTCTCTTCAGAAAATACTTACAGAGGACAGCTGCAAACACGATGATTACTTTGGAAACCATATTGGAAGAAGCTGATGATTTCTATGATCAACTGAGGACTAACTTGCATCTTATATACATAGTCCTTATCAATATTTATCGAGTTCACTGAAAAATTGCAATTTGATGATTTACTTAACGCTATAAACTCGGGAGGATTTACTGGAGATTATCATTAATAAACGCTAGCTGCATATTAGCAAAGCAATAAATAAAGTTTCGTGTATAAACAAAAAAGGGTTTATCTGGATATTAAAGACTAGCAACGAAAAACAAAAATGTAATCAACGATTAAAACTTTATGATCGAAGTGCATGTTTTCATTTGATGCATTTTTAGACTAACAACTTATAAAATTAATGCAACATTAAAAATACTCTAGTAGAATATATTAAAATTCTTTATAATAATAATAATTTATTGGCTAGGCAGCAAATATACAAAACAAATACATTCTGTAGAAAAATATAAATGATAATAATAACAACCAAATAATAATGACTCTCAAAATAAGTAAATAAATTCTAACATAAATTAACAAAAAAAAATATATACATATAGGGAAATAAGAAGAATGAGAGAAAAAAGCAGCAGAGTTGGAACTAGAAGGGTTTTAATCAATGGAAATTAGGTATTGGAAAAGGGATAATGTGGAATATATAAATTTTGGAAGGATATTTGGATTTCAAGGGGCACGTTATTTAGAGGGGAAGGTGATGTTTTGGAGTAAAGGAGATTATTAGGATAATTGTGTAGAGGATTATTAGGATGTCGTATTTTGGTGAGAATGCGAAGGGTGGAACGTTCGGATACGGGCAGGTTTTTTAGGACGGGATTTTGGGCGTTAGGAAAGTAGTGGGAAACCGTAGGATTATTTATAATTTACAACAAACAAGTTAAACTAAAATTTAATGAATTATTTCTTAGATAATGAAAATAACAATAAATATAATCATGGGATGTAACTATTAGTTTCAAATATTTTAGTTGTGCATATATATTAATTTGTTACTTCAGTTCGGAAGCCCTTGTGTAATGTCTTGTTTATGAAATTTCAGGATGATTGTCGGATAATAGAAAATACCAATTATTAAGTTTTAGTAACATTCCAAGTTAGGTTTTGTTAATCTTTGTAGTATGTTACTTTCAATTTTTCACCTAATAATTAGAGATTTCTTTTATCCAGATGAATTTTCGGTTATTTCACATTGGTGATCTTTATCATCGTTAACATTCTGACATATAATTTAATATAAATTATTTATAATTTATCAATATATTTTTTAAACTGTATAATTTATTAGATATTTATTATTAATATTGTAAGTAAACTAGTAAATAGTTCCTAAAATTCTGACCATAAATTGTGGATTATAGATATCGAGATATCTTCGTTGAATAAAAAATCTTCATTCAATTAGGTACATTAGAAATGATAAGATTTTGGTATAAATACCGACGAATACAGAAAAGTAGACATACAGAAATCAAGATGACTTCTAAAGCAGTACTTGCCATCCTAGTAGCATTGGCCTGTTTCCAAGGTATTTGAAATAATCTTTATAGTTAAATATAATATTTATTAATAATTTATTTGATATTCTTAGGAAATGGTGCTCGCATCATTTTGAACGATCCCTCTAAGGTAGGTGAATTGCACACCGCCGTTCTACCGCCTTCGACGGAAATGTTGCCAGGTATCAAACCCCTGCCAGCTGAAATTCCACCACAAACTCGCCCACTGCCACCAGCGATTGAAGATCTTCCAGCTCCAGAAAAGCCACAAGTTCGTCCATTGCCATTCCCTCTGCCACCACAAGTTGAGGCTTTGCCAGCTCCAGAAGTGCCACTGATCAAACCATTGCCAGCTGAAATTCCACCACAAACTCGTCCATTGCCACCAGCGATTGAAGTACTTCCTGCTCCAGGGAAACCACAGACTCGTCCATTGCCACCACCAATTTCCGTTCTTCCGGCTCCAGGACAACCACAAACTCGTCCATTGCCGCCACCAATTTCCGTTCTTCCAGCTCCAGGACAACCAGAAACTCGTCCATTGCCACCACCAATTTCCGTTCTTCCGGCTCCAGGACAACCACAAACTCGCCCATTGCCACCACCAATCTCCGTTCTTCCAGCTCCAGGACAACCACAAACTCGTCCATTGCCACCACCAATTTCTGTTCTTCCAGCTCCAGAGGAAGATTGTTACGAAAGCATTGAACTTTTGCCAGCTCCAGTACTTCCAGAAGTCCGTCCATTACCACCACCAATCTCCGTTCTTCCTGCTCCAGGACAACCACAAACTCGCCCATTGCCACCACCAATCTCCGTTCTTCCAGCTCCAGGACAACCACAAACTCGTCCATTGCCACCACCAATCTCCGTTCTTCCAGCTCCAGGACAACCACAAACCCGCCCATTACCTCCACCAATCTCCGTTCTCCCAGCACCAGGTCAACCACAGACTCGTCCATTGCCACCCCCTGCTGGAGTACTTCCGGCTCCAGTAGTACCACAAATCAAACCACTGCCTGCTGAAATTCCACCACAAACTCGTCCATTGCCACATGCAATTGAAGTTCTTCCGGCTCCAGGAAAACCACAGACTCGTCCTCTGCCACCACCAATCGCCGTGCTTCCAGTATTCCCCGAGCAAATTATCTTCTAGATTTAATATATTACATATGTTAATTCCTAAATAAAGCATTATAAAATGAAATTGTAGAATCTATTACTTTCCTTAATTATAAACCATATAACAAGAAATATGTCAGAATACAAACTAAATTATAAATATAAGCTATAAAATTATCTTTAAGCTCCTAATTACTGGAGAACCATGCACACTAGAAATATCTACATAAATAAAAATTAAAGATAAAGTTATGACCTTTCCTACCAACCTACATGTCCATTTACTAATTATTAGCTTTAAAGTTGAGCAATGTAAATAAAATTAATTAGTTTCACGGTTTGTTTACAATTTACAAGTAATACTATTAATAATCAAAATTTAGAATATTTATAATTATTCCACAATATTTTTAGATTTTTTGAAAACACTATTCTATTATCAATTTCAAGAAACTTTAAATATACTCAATGAAATGTAATTGATGATTACATATGAAAAAGACTTCTATTGTACATATTTGAATATGATGATTACGTATTACGTAATAATAATTAATTATTTTTTTTTGTATTTTCATATTTTATGTAATTACTTCATAATCTCGCATAATAGTTACATCGTCAGATTTGCATATTATATCCAATGATTTTAACGCCAATTCAATTTAATTACTCAATTGCCAATCAAATAACTATAGATATATTCAATTTGTAAAGATTTATATTATTAATATGAAGACTATTTCAAATTAAACCCCTAAGAGAAAAATAAATATTCATTCAAATATGTAAGATTTATAAATAGTTGCGATGTAGACAATGACTTTACATTTAGTTGTTTGTTATTTGAGTGCAGTAATCTCTCTCAATTTATCAGTGCAATAAACTTACACATTTTGTTCTCTTGATTAAATTTAATGATTTAATACACCCTTTTGTTTATATACTTTAATAAAAATTAGTAGCGGTATTAATGGAAACAAAAATATCAAAAAATAGTAATTTACCAAATTGCATAATTAATCTAATTTACATAATTAACCATTTAAAACGTCAATTTATTTAGAAATAATACAAGCATATTAATATTTTCTTATTTCAGAAAATATTCCAGTCTTATTCGAACTTATATGTGATTTACTACAAAATTTTTGATTGAACTTTTAGAAAACTTATTTTTCTTAGACGAAAAAATAAATATTTTTATCTAAAAGTATGTAAATTTTTATAATACAAACGACGACGGAAGATCTTGTATGCAAGAATCGTTTTATAATTTGTAATAACTAAATGGATATAGTTCACATATTCAAGCTGATTGTCTCTAGTACTCTGTCCATAAAAAGTGGATTATAGATTTAGCGATATCTAGGGATAATAAAATCTACATTTAATTGGTTATATTGTTGATGATAAGAGATTTGTATAAAAACCGATGAAATTGGAATGAAAAGTCAGACAGCAAGATGGCTTCTAAAGCAGCAATTGTCATCCTAGTAGCATTGGCTTACTTCCAAGGTATTTCAAATTATATTTTTGTTAATAACATGTGTGGTTAATTTAATATTTTGTCTATAGGAAATGATGCTCGCATCATTTTGAACGATCCGTCCAAGGTGAGCGAATTGCATACCGCAGTTCAACCACCATCGACCGAATTGTTGCCAGAAGTTATGCCATTGCCATCTGAGCTTCCACCACAAACTCGCCCATTGCCTCCAGCGATCGAGGTCCTTCCAGCCCCACAAAGGCCAGAAGTTCGTCCAATGCCATTGCCTGTGCCACCACATGGCGAAGTAATGCCAGGACCATCTTTCCCACAAATCATGCCATTGCCAATTGAAGTGAACCCACAGACTCGCCCATTGCCGCCACCAATCTCCGTTCTGCCAGCTCCAGGACAACCACAAACTCGTCCATTGCCACCACCAATTTCTGTTTTGCCAGCTCCAGGACAACCACAAACTCGTCCATTGCCACCACCAATTTCTGTTTTGCCAGCTCCAGGCGGTCCTCAGACTCGTCCATTGCCACCACCAATCTCCGTTCTGCCAGCTCCAGAGCAAGGTTGCGAACAAGGCATTGAACTTTTGCCAGCTCCAGTAGTTCCAGAAGTCCGTCCACTGCCTCTGCCACTTCCACCACAAGGTGAAATTTTGCCGCTGCCAAGTTTCCCACAAGTCCAGCCATTGCCAATTGAGAAACCAGAAACCCGTCCATTGCCGCCACCAATCTCCGTTCTTCCAGCTCCAGGACAACCACAAACTCGTCCATTGCCGACCACCAATCTCCGTTCTTCCAGCTCCAGGACAACCACAAACTCGTCCACTTCCACCACCAGCTGGTATTCTTCCAGCCCCAGAAAGGCCACAAGTTCGTCCATTGCCATTGCCTCTGCCACCACATGGCGAAGTATTGCCATGCCAAGTTTCCCACAAATCCAACCATTGCCAATTGAAGTGAACCCACAAACTCGTCCATTGCCGCCACCAATCTCCGTTCTGCCAGCCCCAGAAAGGCCACAAGTTCGTCCATTGCCGTTGCCTCTGCCACCACATGGCGAAGTATTGCCACTGCCGAGTTTCCCACAAATCCAACCATTGCCAATTGAAGTGAACCCACAAACTCGTCCATTGCCGCCACCAATCTCCGTTCTTCCAGCTCCAGGACAACCACAAACTCGTCCTCTGCCACCACCAATCTCCGTTCTTCCAGCTCCAGGACAACCACAAACTCGTCCACTGTCCACCACCAGCTGGTATTCTTCCAGCCCCAGAAAGGCCACAAGTTCGTCCATTGCCATTGCCTCTGCCACCACATGGCGAAGTATTGCCAGGACCATCTTTCCCACAAATCATGCCATTGCCAATTGAGAACCCACAAACTCGTCCATTGCCACCACCAATCTCCGTTCTTCCAGCTCCAGAAAGGCCACAACTTCGTCCAGAAGTTGTGCCAGAAGATGAGCTTGGATGCGATAATATCTTCAACCCAATTCCCGGAGGTGTTGAGTCTTTGAGACCCGAACAAATTATCTTCTAGATTCTCTACAAACTAATGTATTGCAAATCGTTATTATGTTATATCCTAAATAAATCATTTAAAAAATTATTCGTTTTGTTTTAATTGTAATAATACAATTATTTATGTAAAAATAAAACTCCTTACAACTGGTTTAATAAATATCAAAGAGTCAAAGGTTGATTTTTTTAATTCTACCTAATCTTTAACATTTAGCGTATATTAATAATTATTAATCAATAAACAATTATATCAAATGTGTTTAAAGAAATTTAAATCAAAATATTTAATGTTTGTTTATTTGACAAAACTAATATTATTAAAAGTACAAAATATACAGTTATTTTGCATAATTACAAAATCTGGACTCGAGTTTTTTCGAGAAATAACGAAAAAAAAAGAAATAATCGATACATTTTCTAGTAAAATTTGACAACTTATTACAGGAATTACCACATTGGTTACTGGAAAGGGCTTTATTTTTTCTGCGATATGCATATTTGATAATCTAATTAAACTATGTGATTATTGAATAAAAAGTTACCATATTTTGGTTAATAATTAAAATTACATAACAGAGGTTATATTAAAAAAAAAAGGAGTAATTTTGTACAATAAAAAAAATCATAACCATTTTCGAGAAATTATAAAAACAATTTCAGAAAATGTTCAAGCTTCAAACAGGAAAACAGAAAATATCATGAAAGTGATAGAACATTTATTGGAATGGCATAGTTTTATCTTTGTTTATGCATATGTAAATATCCTCTTATGTAATCATACAATTTATACAAAGTTTTCAATTTTCAGTTTCAAATATTAATCATTAAGAAGATATACATCTTGGTTATACTGTCGTGTCCCAGGGATGGAATTCTGGATACAGTGGAATATTGTCTGGTGTTGTCGTTGTGGAGTCTCAGTTGTAAGAATTAAATAGTTCAATTGGTTTTAAACAAGTTTATTACAATATTTGGTACTCTTGGGGTCATTTCCAAGACAATGTAGATACTTTAAAAGGACTATCTTAGGTTTTTATGAGACTATGCTCATCATATTAAGGTTTTACTGAGACTGATTCTAAATACTTATTCTACTTACAAAGTTAATTTTTATTAATACGGGGTGGAAGTTGTGATCGAGGGAAGGGCTTTGTATATATTGATGATTGAGAGTTCCCACGGGATTCGGTCTTGGTGGTTTTGTTTATTATAAGACCGGGACAAAATCCTATGCATTTGTTTATATGAAAAAGATGATCGATTACGATTGTACATGTAACGATCATTATGTGTTTATAATAAGGACTTGAATTCGGAGTAAAGGTCTAGGAGTATCGATGGGAATATTTACGCTTGGTCCCCTTTGTTTATATTAAAGTGTATCGAACTGGAATCATGGTAGAGATTCCCTTATGCTGATGTATATGCCGTGGATGTCTCTAGTTCGTTAATACACTATATTAATAATAATGGTTAAATCATATCAGGACAAATACAACAATACAATAAATTTCATCGAAAAAAAAACAGAATACATGTTATTAACGTCTTACAATTACATATAATTGTGTAATTGAAATAACAATAATTATAACGTTGAATTGAAGTATACGAAAATAACTATATATTTCAAGAATATTTTAAAATTAGAGAAATATGACAATTTATTATTTTTATTGTCAGTAACAATCATGTAATTTGCTAATATTTCTTGACTTATTATTAATATAAATAATAATAAATATATCGGAGGAATGTAACACTTGCAATAAATAATAAAAATATCAATTTAAGTAAAACTATTAATGGAAATAAATGAATGTAAGAGTCATCAACTTGTATAATAATTAAAATAATGAATATAATGGTATCAATAATAATAGCACTATTTAGTGGAACAATTATACAATTACATTAATAATTAACAAAATGGTTAAATTTACTTTGTCTATTTGTTAGTGTTTTTTGCAGAAAAATTCTTTCAGAAAATATTCCATTATAATCTTAATTGTGATTTAGTATAAAGTTGATTGAACTTTTAGACAGCTTATTTTTCTTATATTATTATTTTCATCTAATAGTATGTAGTTTTCATAGAACAAGCGTCGAGGAAAATGGTTGTATACAAGACTCGTTTTACAACTTGTAATAACTGACTGGATATAGTTAAAATATTCAAGTTGATTGTCTCTAGTACTCTCTCCATAAAATGTGGATTATAGATTTAGCGATATCTAGGGGTAATAAAATTTACATTTAATTGGTTATATTGTTGATGATAAGAGATTTGTATAAAAACCGATGAAATTGGAATGAAAAGTCAGACAGCAAGATGGCTTCTAAAGCAGCAATTGTCATCCTAGTAGCATTGGCTTACTTCCAAGGTATTTCAAATTATATTTTCGTTAATATCATGTGTGGTTAATTTAATATTTTGTCTATAGGAAATGATGCTCGCATCATTTTGAACGATCCGTCCAAGGTGAGCGAATTGCATACCGCAGTTCAACCACCATCGACCGAATTGTTGCCAGAAGTTATGCCATTGCCATCTGAGCTTCCACCACAAACTCGCCCATTGCCTCCAGCAATCGAAGTCCTTCCAGCCCCACAAAGGCCAGAAGTTCGTCCAATGCCATTGCCTGTGCCACCACATGGCGAAGTAATGCCAGGAC